TGTCTCATGTATAAGATACAGTTATTATGTGAAAACTGTATGCTAGTGAAGATTCATAGTCATCCAGGTCAAAGTAATTCAAAAAAAGTTAAAAAAAAAACCCACTGGGCTTTGTTTTCAAAGTTTGAAGATGATTCGCTTCCCATCCAGGAAGCTTTTTACATTCAAAATGCCTGAAATAGCATTAAATTCCAAGCTTTATAGAAGCGTTGCTGGCTTAAAAAAAACATGCAAACTGAACAGGAAGCGGAGTGGTGTATGCAGTTCAATGCATTGAGGAATGCTCTGATCTTTATATTGGAGAAGCCAAACAACTTCTCCGTAGACGCATGGCTCAACACAGGAGAGCTACATCCTCTGGACAAGACTCTGCTGTCCACCTACCCCTTATGGACAAAAGACATTCTTTTGAGGATCAGAATGTTCACATTTTGGACAAAGAAGAAAGGTGGACTGAAAGGGTTGTAAAGAAAGCCAATATGTTAAAAGAGAAAATTTCAGTTCTCAAAAACCTACAACGCAGCAATACAGTTGATTCCTTCCTGATATCATAATCCTCTTCGACTTGCAGGGGACCAAGACATTTTGCCCAGTCAACCAGGCCAACAATGCCCCTAACTCCCCTTTTTCACAGTCATAGGCCAGTATAGGGTATTGTAGGCTAACAAAGACCTCAATGACTCCTACTACTAAGGGGAGGACCTTCTCTTCCGGTTCAATTTGTATGTTTTTAAGTCAAAACAAGGCTTTGATGGACCTCTCAATACAACTTGGAACTCAATGATATTGGTGAGTCATTTTGAATGGAAAAAGCTTCCTGGGTGGGAAGCAAATCATCTTTGGAGAACAGAGTCCAGCGGTTTGTTTTTTTTAACTTTGCTTTTGTTGCAAGCTTTAAATGTGAGCATGAGAGGCTGTGAGAACTATGTATACAGCAGGAAACACATTGTTTAGAATGATCTGCAGCAGCCTGGTTATCTGTTACTTGCTGTAAAAGGTATTTTGCAATTATTGTGTAGAAATATTTGTACATTTGTTGTCTATATGTTCTAATTATGTATACCGGTATGTTTAGAGTGTACAAGACTGTGAGAGAAGCTACCAAGGATATCCGAAGTTGAGGTAATTATTTGGTAAAGCCTGTGTTTTTTTTTTACTCAAAGTTCTTTTGTAAATAAAGTTCTAAAGCTTTTTTATTTATTTTTGTAGTTTTCACAGTGTTTAATAGAGTCCATCTGAAAGAAGCTGTGCCAGTGTTTGGAACTACAGGATCTAACTTTTTATACAGCACTAAGTAATACTTAAACCTTAATATATCCTCCGGTAGATCCCTGTGAAGATCATCTAAGTGTTTTGAGACAACTGAGCAGTCTTTCTCCCCCCTACTGGCTCTGCTTGAAAAGAACTTACTTGCAAGTTTGTTTCAGTGCCACAAACCTGTTGGCAGTCTCATAGCTTTGTTCTCCTTCTCGCAGTAAGATGAACGGTTTTAAGGCCTCAATAGCCAAACGCCTCAAGCTGCGCTGATTATAGAGCATTTTTTATTTTATTTTGGAGGTTTATATCATGGTAGAGCAGAAAAGAAAAGAAAGAGATAACGAGAATCAGACTGGGTCAGTGATTGTAGAAAAGTGAATTTGGGCAAGGCCTTTTTTGCAAAACTGATGCAGATCTCGTATTGTTGTTATTGGACGTGTAGGTAACACATGTGCTAACCTCTGTTACTATTGCTATTGTGACTTTAGAGTGATTGATTTTAGCCTGCAGATTTACCCTTACTATATGACTTGTCTGAACATAACTTATGTTTTCGTTAATAATTGTGATCTACACTGGTTTTCATCAGACAGTGAACAACACTACTCAAGTTCTCTGACATTTGGTCGTGTAGCTGCTTTTAGTGACAACACTGTAGGTGGTCAGTCAGTCTTTACAACAATGCTATTTTTAAAAGTCAGTGTGACTCTATAATTACTTAGTGTTGCTTTAAGCTTACATTTTTTTTTGGTGTGCACCATGTTCAAAATCCTATTTAAGAGTGTACAAGGGCCAGACATTTATAAGCAGATTATTCTAAGTGTTGAAATGCTGATTAACACTTAGTAACTAGAAAAGAGTCAGATAGATCAAAGAACCACTGACACCAATGTACAAAGGGTATCATTTAAGATGAAAGTAAATCCAAGTACATCTGAGCAAGTATCTTTAAAAGATCAGAGCCAATCAAAGTCTCAGATTACCCATGAATCTTATAGGGGGAAAAGGACAGTCAGTCACAACGTCTTGAAAATGCTGGGTTTTGTAAAAAGTACGAAGAATTTTTTTAAATAATAGATTAGTCTCAGACTTATTCATACCATGCTTTTCAAAAGTTAAATGTTTCCACTCCATGTCACGGTGCGTTTTTATTAGAATGTTATGATACAGAAAAACACAAACTTCTACATGATTGACAAAAAACAAATTAATTTATTTCAGAAGTCTTAAAAAGTATTTTAAATCCCTAATAACACCAAAACCTCACCCCAGTAACATACCGACAAGCAAACCTTGAAGTCTTGCAGTGCTTTGTCTATAATATGCAAATGCAGATACCTTTTCTTTCAGCATACATCTAGCTAAAAAAGCTGCCACTCAGTAGCTACCTCAAACTTGTGTAACATTGATCTTTGGTCACACCAGATGAATTTAATAAGAGAGCTTAATTTCAGGCACTGCAACTGTGCAAAATGCAAGTGTTTTTTGTTTTTTTTATAACTACAGATGTGTGTGCAGAACATTTGCTTGATGAGATACTAATTAATTAATTAACTGCCAAATTAATGCATTTCATAACCTTGTTTTATCATATGCTTAAAAGAGACAAACACTAATACCTGCAGTAGCAACAAATGAATTTTCTTGTATGAATCAGGCAGGCAAACAAGAAGAAACGGCTATATTCTATAATCTTTAAACAGCTGTGTTTGTAAAAGCAAAGCTGCTCACAATTCTCACTTTGTTTAGCAGCAACATGTTCATAAAGTAATTATGCACTAAATCTTTTTTGGAATCATTTATTTTAAGCAAAATCTTAATTGTTTACCTGAAACAAAGTTTAACAGCAGAAATAGAACTCTAAATTATATTTCTTCAACTTTTTTTTTCAACAAAGATATAGACATGCCTTCGTTTTTGTCTAAGATTCATCAGTAGCAGAAGAAAACATGAAAACACATGCTCCTATCTAGCAGAATGCACTGCCTATAGCCTGTCTGAATTATGAATCCCAAGGAAGTGGTAGTATAGGTGGGGGTGTCTAGAAATGTGGGTGCATAAAGAATCTCATGATCAAAATATAACAATATTGCCACTTGGATAATATGCATGCAGTTTTCCATCCTGCAGAGGGAAAGAAAGCAAGAAAAAGGTCCAACAAACTACAGGTTCTTGTAAAAATGTAATAATATGGTAAATAGTTTGTATATAAAGTAGCATCTTTTCAAGTAATGAGGGTCTAACACACTTTACGCCACATTCAGTTAATTACAATCCACACATTGATGGTAGCAAGCTACACTGTAGCCACAATTCGACTGGGGCATACTGACAGAACAGGGGTTGCTGAACACAGGCACCATCAGTAGGCAATGCAAGGGAACTGTCTTGCCCAAAGCCACCACTGAGACAACAGAGCAGGGGTTCAAACCGGCAACCCTCTGAATGCAGGACAAACTTCTGCATTCCATGCCACACTATTACTGCTAGTCCTTGAGGCTGTCCAGAGCCTATATAGGTACTGCAGGTGAAAGTCTCCAATCCAATTTTATTTGCTAAGCACTTAAAAACAACCACAGCTGACCAAAGTGCTAAAGAGCTAAAACATGGGTCAAAATAATATTGCCACAACCACATTAACAAAATGGTGTAAAAGATAAAGGAAATAAAGGGGGAAAAAAAAGATAAAATAAAATAAAGCCCTCTGTCTTGCTACTGTAGGTGTTAAAACACCTAAAACACTGCAGAGAGTACCCTGAATCCTCTTTGATGCAGCTATGAGCATGCCTTTAACTGTTGAGCAGGTTCTAGAAAATATTTCCTTAAATTACCTGCAAAACAACCTAGTGAGAGTATGTATCATTAGAAAAGGAGCAAGATGCTAATTCATTCACAGATGAAAAAAAAAATGCCTCAAGCTCAAAGAGAAAAAACTGTCAAAAAAAACCACGAGAGGTATCTCCTGAATAAATGCAATCTTTCTGCCATGTGAAGAAGGGAAAATTCAGATATTCACCCAATTTGTGATGAATAGCAAGTTGATCTTTAAGGCAAAATAGATTTGGTGTTTAAAATTGAATCAAGCTGCTTTATATTGGGGTATTATTGAATCTGAGTTACTATGACCTGGAGGACACAGCGTGTATACAGAATATTAAGACCGGAGAAGGGTTAAGGAGTATGTATATATTTCCTTCAATTAAATTTGGCTTTAAATAACTATGAGAAATAGAAGAGTGTAATAATTGATATCTTGGTCAAACATTTGTAAATATGTGCCCAAAGTTACACTGTGTTATATAAAAAAAACATTATAAAGGGGATGATTCTCAGTCCTTATAACAATAACAAATCAGAACCCAACAGATGCTTCAAACTTCAATAAAGGATTTTTCCCATAGCCATTCTCAAATGAGCTGGTCTGTGTCATTTGAGAAATGATACAAACAAAAGCAATTTGTCATTGACTTGCCCCCCCGCAAGGCTTTTAAATTGTGCAATCAGGGAGTTCTTGAAACAGTCAGATTAAGTTTTCTTAATTATCATGTTTGTGTTCAAGTGTCATTATTAAAAGAACAATTATCGCTCATTAAAAGCTCAAACAAGTACAGAGCCTTGCAGAAGAACATAATCAACACATCCCTGTCCTTTGTTTTCACACAGGGACCTCATTAAAAAAGTACTGTGTGTTTTACTCTCAGTATTTGACTTGCAAAAGTGCACTTTATGGAGGATCTGCTTACCATAACCTGTCCAACGAAGGCGTTGTCCTGTTCCTCAATGACTGTCAAGTTCACTGGCAGTGAAGAGTTGAACGCTGGATCATTGTCATTAACATCAGTCACCACCACGTTCACCATAGTAGTGGAAGTCTTCAAAATGATACAAAACAATTAGATAAAATTGATAAAAGTGATTTCTCATATAATAGCTCTTAACTCAAGAAAATGAAATAAAATACTTTGGAATCCAATATCAAACTTTAGTGAATATATTCAAAACCTGAAATCCTTAATGAGCTTGAGATGCCTCCATTTAACTCTACTTGACTTCATGCTGTATGATTTTCATTGTGCATTTGGCAAGTGTAACCAAAATATTGTGGGTCTTAAAACAGCATTGGTTCATGTTTTTCCTTCTTGATGTTGGCCACTGACATTTTGTTAACTTTACAGCAAGTGCTGATTTCAAATACAAAAAACAGTCACTTATTATGAAAACTGAGGGATTTGTGTGGCTCTGCAGAAAATACATTAAAATCTCTGACAACATCTTATTAAAGATAAAGATATATCCACATCAAATATTAATGTTGCAAATTTTCTGCATGATACACCTGGCTTTTTTTCTCTTGACATTACATCTCCCTGTCAAACCAGTCATGGGTATGGTAGTATGGTAAGCCTATTGAACATATCGTCATTTTGACTAGTCACAACTGCAGGTACTAATTTTGGCTAATCTAATTACAGATATCTTGAATGATGAGTTTTGACAGGAAAACATTATGTTGCATATAACAGTAATCAATATAAAGTCTAGGTATTATATCTTCAAAGGCTTGCCATATATGCGGACACCACGGCATGCTTCTACCCAGCTAGGTTTACAGCATTACCAAAGAGGAGGAATTTCCTCTGCATTCTGGTTTCTATTTTGGGTCCCACCCACCCAACCTCACCTTTACTGTGACAGTCAGTGTGCTCTATGTAAGATAGAAAGCTGAACAACCTTGCTGGCAGCAGATCTGCTCCTAGATCAGCCAGTAACACCAGCTGATCCAGGAGCTGCGGCTGTATAATCTCCTCCAGCGATAATTCCCTCTATCTAGGTGCAAGTCAGAACTGCTGCAGGGAGGGTGATTAATCTCTAGTGAGTTCTTGAATGACAAAGCTTTGCTTCAGCTGTGCTTCTTCACCTTACACGCCAACCCCATCCAGTTGATGATTGGCTGATGTGACACAAATTAAGCATAGAAGTTTAGATTTGATTAATTTCTGCTAAATTATACTTTGCTTTCTCTGTTCATCTACTTGGCCTATATTAGCAGTGCAGTGAAATATGCGCACCAAATACATCCCTAATTCCTGAAACACTGAAATATTTAATTGCCACATTCGGTTTGGTGTGAACATACCTTAATTTGAACTTCTTTAAAAAAAAGCCAGAAAGAACAAACAAATAGGAAATAATAATTTTTCTAGAACAATATCCAAGTGTCTTTCAATGTTGTCCATGGGTGTGTCAGGCAAACTTTACTTTTTAAAGAGATACTTCAGATTGTTTTACCAGTAATAGTTTCTCTATATGGCTGAATAAATTCTGCAAATTCTACCTCTGGTGCAAAGTTATTACAAAAGATGCCATTCTTTTACACCCCCCCGCCCCCCTCCCCCTGCTTAGCTGTCCAATGCCAATCAGCCGAGTAAACTTAGCCTGTTTCAGATTTCATTATTATAACTGCCCTAGAAAAAGAGGGTGTTACATTCAGAAGTTGGGTTACTTGTTGCTTTACTGTCTTATGTCAAAGCAGTAATAGAAATAAAAATAATTTACCTATATTACCATAAAACTTAATATCTTGATATTATTTCAGTTTCATTCTTACATCACAGGTGTAAATGTCCATGTTATTTTACAGAAATGCACTGGCAAAAAGATTCTGCAATGGAGGTGTCTACTGGGAAAGGCTGGGAGAGGAGTTTTGGGCTAAGTTTATTGAGAAGAGACAGCCATCAAGGCTGGAGGAACAATGTGGTACAGTCTAGCCTCAAGCGTGCAGCAAACTTAAAAAGGAGGCATTGACAGCTGCAAAGAACCGATAAAAATACTCCTGCCACATACTGCGAATGCGCAAAGCTACGTGTAGGAGTTAGGCCAGATGAAGACAAGTGATCTGTGTTAGTTTTAGTAGCCACATTGTAAACAGTGCAAATAATTAGGGTAATATAAACTTTGTTGCTTGTATATCACCCTTTCCTGACTCTAGATCTCCAATCTATGTCCTTTATTTTTCATTTCATATTGTGGATTGCTTTTTATAAAACATATTTTGAAACTGATGCCTGGATTAAGTGTTGGTAATAAATTGACAACTATTACGTTGATGTATTATATTATATATTTGCTTTATTATTGGTTGCATTGTTTGGAAAGATTTGTTCCTTTTGTTAGTGCAATGACAATGAACAGCACGTGCAAAAGCTTAACACTTAATAAAGATTGTATAGCGAATTGAAATAGTCTTTTTGGTGTTATTTTGTTTAAAAAAATCTTTAGCTAGTCACACTAGTCTGTAATAATCTTACATAGCAAATCAATTGAGTGTAATATGCAGCAGTCAAAATGACCAACAAGAAAGCTTTCTTGTTTATATAAAAACGATTTGTGCAAGATATCTATTTATAATAATAACAAGATAAAGCCCCATAATAATAATAGATCATGTGTCATTTCTACTGTGCCAATGGAGACTCAGCTGTTCCCATTTCTCATTTAGGAGGTGAATTACTTTTGCTGATCAAGCCCCAATATTTTAAAATATGAGTCTGGCACCATTTTGAAAATATTTCTCAAGTCCTTATGCTAGCAAAAGGTTAAAGCTGATTGATTTAACCTTTTGATGCAGTTAGGAAAGTACACAACTGATCATTTGCCTATGCCAAGCTGACCTGCATCTAACCAATAGTGCCTTTACAGGAGGATAGATTTATTGCACCAACTTGTATAGTTCTCATCTCTGGCAGTATGATGGATTCACTCGCCAAACGGCCAATTAGGCACTTTGTAGTCTGACACTCTCCCAACAGGACATTTAATAATAAAAGATACAAACAGGTATGTGTATGTGTGCACAAGTGAAGACAACAAGGCCTTTTGGGTGATACTGATTAATGGCCAGTGTAATGCATCTAGTCCTCTGTTCTTCTTTCTCTAGCATTTTTCTCTGAATTCACTTCTGCTGTTGGGTAGCTCATACCATTCTTCTCTTTTTCAAACTCATCTGCCTCTTATTCAATAAGCTTTGTAATACTGTGCCAAGCAGAAAAATGTTTGAATTTATCTTTGCCGTTTTTCTAACTTTATGTTCTTCAGGACACAAAGATAATGCGCTCGTCATGAAGCCCTAGAGTCTGGTGGAAAAGTAGTGTGGTTATAAGTGCGTATCAAGGCATATTTATAGGACAAAAAAAAAAAGGATGAACATCTCTTAAATCATTCTTCCTATACTTACTATCTACGTTTTTTTTCTCATTTTGTTTGCACTTTACACAGCCATAACAGTTACCAAAATAACAACTACCTTATGTATTCATTGATATTTAACTTTTTTTTTACTTCAAAAAAGAACAAATGTTTGATGCCTAACTAATTGAGGAAAATTAAAAGATAAATGGTAACTGACAAAAAGAAATGAGAGAAAAACTATTTGTTTTTGCTTTAATTTCATATTACAACATATAAAAAAACAAAGTAATAACAAAGTGAGTTTTAGGAAATTACTCAATTGGCCTAATATAGGTTAGGTAAAAGAAAATGTGGTTGGCATCAGACACTGCCTATTAAGATCAAATGGGACTCTGTCATTAAAAATATGGAAATGTGAAGATTACTTTTTTAAAGGTAGAAGTTAATAATTTCCATATGTGAATAAAACCAAGATTCATGCCAACATTGTTCTATAGAGTTCTTTCTTTTTACCTTTTAATTAGAAAAAAATCTTTTTCCAATTTTTAATTGGATGACGAAAAAGAGTACAAAAGTACTGAGAGAATCAGGTCTGCCAATGAGTGAAACCACAGCAAATTTAAAATCAACTGCAACATCTTTTTGTGTTGGTGCAACATACATGGCTTTAAGTTAAACGTTGACAAAAGTAAAATGTAATAACCAACTGATTATGTGATTTACAAGTGGCAGAAAATGGATGTCAAAGTGCCCTGCTTCCACTATGCACTTGCAACTTCAAAGGCACGTACTGTTGTAAAGACAAAAAAGCCCAGCTCCTTCAAAAGTGGAAGATAAAGGTGAGCATACTCACTTGTTTAAGGGGAGCTAAGACTGCAATGAAGCGGCATTCTAGACTCAATCAGTGACAGATCCAACCTGCTAAAGTTACAAAGCTGAGTTTTAAGAAAGACACCGGTATAAATCATCGATAAGAGCCAACCGCTGTTACTGATCTGCAAAATCCTTCAATATACTTTAAATTATCCTAATACTTGGACCAAAACTTTCACAGTGCTTTAATACTGTAAGTAAAAACCTTGACTTGGTAAAACTTTATGAGTACCTGTCCAATGACGTCCCTGTTGAGTGATGGACTACATCATATATCTTGCACCAAGACTTTGGCTGTTATTCCGTAAAAATTCAAAAAATATCCACTGGACTTGGACGGAATGACTATGACCTGGATGACTGAGAACCTTCATCAGCATTGGCTGTTATAGTTGTGATTTGGAACATTCACCTACATTTCTTCCGATACAACCTCAAAAGATGGTTAATACGATTAAGGTCTGGAATAACTGGAAGTCAAAACTCCTCAAACTTATTGTAGTGCTGCTTAAATCCCTTGTAAAACTTGTTTTTCCTGTCTGGGAGTGTATATTAACCTGTTGGATGAGGTCACAGTCTTCATGGGGATAATCCCTCCTGGAAGATTTTAAAGGGTCTTTATAATGGTCAGATAAGGTCAGAGTAGCTTCCCACATGGAAGGCAGGACTGAAAGTGGCCAAACAGAACATTGTGAAAACCATCATACCATCCATTTCCCTTTTCCCCACAGAACACTTTGGTGCAATCATTTTTCTCCGAAAAGTGATGCATGTATTCAGGAATTACTGCCTGGTCAGGTTCTGCGGTTCATGTCTCAGCATTGGTACCCTGAGTGATCTGCGGCTATGCAGCATCATTAAACACTTACATGCAAAAATGTCCCAAAGGACCGGAAACTCCGACCAGAGGACTTAACCTTTAGACCCTTGTGGAACTTTCTTTTATCCTTACCCTGCTTCGAAACATCAACCTTGGGAAAGTTACTTCAGTGACTAAAAATCCCCATCCCTTGACAGGTATAATGTGAGAGGTAACTGTTTTTCACTTTACTTGTCAGATGACAAAATTTCAATTCTGACCACTAACGTATTTCTGGAAGGTTATGTTAATCCTGCATGATGAAGCCTTTAAGCAACACTGATAAACAGTGCACTGGCAGTTGAACAGTGGTGAGGTGTGATGCTGTCAAGGTTGGATTGTAGCAGAATAACTCCTGCTACAAGGACCATGACTTGTTTGCCTTTCTGATTGAACAGCTGATAAATAAAGGTGTCGCTATCTATGCATTTTTGTAGAAGACAAAGTGTAGGAAAAGGAGACTAAGGACAGCAGCTGTAAGACAGCAAGGAGCTGGTGAATGTGGGTAAGTTTTGCAGGGATTACAGAAGTAAGGTGATGCAATAGAACTGGCAGATTGATAAAGAAAATCAATGGTGACTGGTGACAGGAAGATATCAGCAAAGGGGAAAGAAAGATTCACTAGTGAGACTTGCTGAATTAAAAGATCTGGAAACAAACTCTAACGGAATACCAGGGAGCAGCTGCAGAGTGGCGAACACAAAGAGGATGATGGCTCCAAAGTATGATTAAAACCAACAGTATCCTCACAAAAATAAAGGAGAAGAATTATAGTATCATTGTGGAGGCAATTTTTCAAAACAATTGAATATATATATATATATATATATATATATATATATACTTTTTTTTAACTTTTGGTTATTTCTTACGAATATATATATACTTTTTTTTAACTTTTGGTTATTTCTTACGAATTTTTGTTTTGGAGTTAACATTTTTTTAAATGTCTCTTTCCGTATGTTAAAACGGTGCCATTGGTGGCATTTCATTTCCAGCATGGTCTTGGCTTAATTTGCTCAGGGCTGTGAAACAACTCAATAAAGATAAACAGTTAGTATTAATGGTTTCTTACCCCATCTGGGCGTCCGTCTGAGGCTGTGACCGTCAGGATATAATGATCTAAAGACTCTCTGTCCAAAGGTTTGTCCAATATCAAATACCCTGAACTGTAGAGAGAATGCAAACTAATCAGATTGACATTGAAATTATATATGTGAAAAAAGATCAGCACAAATCTAAATGAAACAATAAAAAGCATTAGTAAAAGACAGATAAATGACAAAGGTGGATAAATATAGACACCATGGAGGAGAATACTTTTAATTTCACAAGAATTTTCTGGTCAGAATTAACTGACAGCTTCAATCTATTTGGAGGATTTATTTGTATGCAAATACAAGGTTGAAATCTAAATATTAAAGACATTTTGCAGAGCTCTGCAAAGAAATTTGTACCCAATTAACTAGGCCCATATTTAGCAATTTTCCAACTTTATATCCTTTTGGTATTGAATGGAGATATTTATCACAGGCTTTTAAGATTGCTTTTAAGGTAACCTTTAGAAACACTTTTTAAATCCAAATAACTTGATCAATTATTGATCTATATCTAATCCCCCTTCTTATCTAGAATTCTTGAGAAAATAGTTGCCAATTAAGTTTTTGAACTCTTAAATTGTAACGACCTTTTAGAAGAATTTCAATCATGTTAGAGCTCACCATAGCACTGAAACAGCTCTGGTAAAAGTTACTAATGATATTATAATGGCCTCAGATAATTCACTTGTATCTGTACTTGTCCGGTTAGATCTAAGTGCGGCATTTAATACAGTAGATCACAGGATCACAGGAAATTGTAGGAATTAAGAGAACAGTACTAGACTGGTTAGAATCTTATCTGTGTGACATATTTATTTTATTTAAGACTAATGATAAATCTTATTTTATTTACAGGGTTACTTGTGTTATACCACAGAGATCATTGCTAGGACCATTTCTATTTATTTTAAATACAGCTCCCAGTTGGTAGAATTATCAAACATTGTTATATGGCTGACACCTAGCTTTATTTTTCTTTAAATCCTCAAGAAACTGGCCAGTTTGACTATGTGCATGTCTTAAAGACATAAAAACCTGGATGACTCTAAACTTTAAGCTTTTGAATGATGGAAAAACATGTTGTTTTTGGACCAGAGTCTTTGAATAAGAAACTGATTTGTCAGTTACTTAATTAGGATTCCAGATAAGAATTGATCCCAGATAATAACATAAAAATCTTGGTGTTCTTTATTTTTTTTTTTTATCAGGACTGCCATTTAAATCCTATATTAAGCGTGTTTCAGGAATTTCCTTTTTTCATTTCTGGAATATTACAAAAACTGTTAATATCTTGTGCAAGGAAGATGCTGAGAAACAGTTCCTTTTATCTGTTAATTTAAGGCTGGACTACTGTAATAATGTAATAATTGATTATATATCTATATTGATTATATATCAAATAATTAATAAAAATAAAAAAAACTATATATATATATATATGTATACTGAAACCCTGAAGTGAATTGAAGGTTGTTATTATTTTAACAAAGTTTTAAATTATATGTTTCAAAAAAGATAAAGTGTGAGAAACAATGAGGTAAATCCTTAACCCAAAGAACTCTGCAAAAAATTTATACTCCCAAAACATTTTTATATTTTGTAATATATGAACAAACTGCAATATATTTTGTTTATTTTGTTGTTTATTATAACTGTGAATTGGAAGGACTATTATACATATATATATCTACATTTATATCCGCTTAATCCTTCCCTGGTGTAATGAATAAAAAGCTTCACAGTTTTATTAGATGAACAAAAGAATGCATCTTCCTCCTACTGCACAATTATGTGTAGTGTCACATAAAAATCCAGTTACACCCACTGGAATGTGTGGTTTTAACATGAAAGTATAAAAACATATTCAAAGAGTAGGTGCCTCTGAAAGGCACTAGATATTTATAACTTTTACCATATGTCCATATTTTTTCTGAAAGTAGAAAGTCACATTTCAGGTTTATTGATGAAATATTTGATAGGGACAGATAAAAATAAACATAAAAAATTATTACAAAATATAATCTGATGCCCGTAACACAATTAGCCACCGGCTAATTCTCCACACCCATCCGTATAAGGAATTTTAACATACAAATTGAAATAAAAGTAAGTACAATAAAATATTGTGATAGAGATGTAAAACAGCTTTTGAAATCCAGTTATGCAACCATTACATTTGAAAATTAGAACAGTCTTTTTTAAATATGATACAAGCAACAAATAATCCTCTAGAAAATAAACATATAGATCTTTTTCATAGACTTACTTCTGCTGCAATGCAAAATTTCCATCAATATCTCCACTCTGAATTTTGTACGTTATTGGATCCTTCTCCCGGTCCACTGCCTTAAAAGGAAACACACAGTTAAGAATTTAAAAAGACAGATTTATTAGTTTTTGCAAATGTTTTAATTGTGATTAGCTGCATATTAAAGAGTCAATATCACGCAAAATTATTTTTTGAGCTATCATCTATGTTATAAGGCTGATCATTCATCAAAATCATGCATAAAGGGGTATTTCACTTGATTCTTGCAACTCTGGGTAAACTCCATGCTTTCTGCTCTCTAAGCAGCAGCCCCTTGCTGTACTGTGAATACGAGCAGATAGAAAATATCTAAGTAAAAATGCTCCCTCCAGGAAACAGTTGCTGGAACTGTAAACAAACACCCACTCTCTCTGATCAGGGAGGGGTGATGTAAAACAGAGGGCTATTATTCTGGCTCAAAGTTAAGATGAAGTGGCTCTTTTAGCGGCTAATCTGCACAGGGCAGCAACTTTTCTTTTATGGTCATTGTCTAAGTCATGAAAACCATATAGTATTCTGGCCTCAAGAGGCCTCTGATTGTTTCCAGCCTTCAGAAGTGCTGTGATATGACAACGTCATAAAACGGGTGATACCCAGACTGAGAGAGGCAGCTTTGCTTCAAAGGCAAGTGTTTTTCTTCAGAGTTGGAAGAAAACAACTGTATTAAAAAAAAGTATTGACACTCTATATATATTCTCTATATATATTAAAAGGCTTTAGTTTGTCACATATATATAAGTGACTTTGAAAGACTTAAAAAAAACATAATAAGGGACCTTTAACACCCCAAAAACACAAGCATAATGGTCTTATGCTATGTAACTTTTTTGAAATTACAGAAAATGTGGGAAAACAAAGTCACGAACTGCATTGATGATTTTATTTAGTAGCCTTGTGAAGTGTAAGTCACTTGTAATTTTATTAAGTATGCAAGTCTGTGCTTATTGAAGTATAATTTATAGTGTCCAAAAATATATTTCTTGACTTTATCTCTTGATGTAATCATGGTTTGGATGTAACTCTGTATACCATAAGAGAGACTGAAAGAGAAAATGGGGCAGCATTAAATGTCTGTCTCTTCTGCCAGAGGGACAAGCAGTACGGTGACCAATGGTAGTGTACTATTGTATATTATTAGCAGTGTAAGTAGATGATTTCACAACAATTTTAAAAACCCTGCAAAAAACAAAAAAATTAGACTTGCAAAATTAGAATTAGACTTGAACAAAAACCTTTGCGAAGAAAGAATGCTGCAAAGCAGAAAACCTGCAATCACAGAAAATAGAGAGCGGCAAATACATGATGATAACACAAAATGCGTGTGAAGGAAAATGCTTCATGTCAAATAAACAACAGCAAGTCAAGAAAAGCTACAAATTATCTCCACATAACAAAAGTACTCCAAATCGGTAGGGGGAGACAATCATCAACTCATATGGGACCAGAACAATAGTAAAGTTTTTTTTTTTTCTTTCTTTCTTTTTGAAATTCCTTTTAGGGATTAATGAAGTATAACTGATTGAATTGAATAAACGCAATGCTCAGAGAGATTTATATCCTAAGATTTGTGTGTATTAAAACAATGGACACGTTTGTATGCACAGAGCAGATCTTCAAAGAAGCGACGCAGCGAAATGCGTTCGCATTCAGGAGCAGCATGTACAAACCACTTATCATATGGGCCTTCATCAATATGTAGGTCATATTCTAATGACCAATGTGAATTTATGGAGAGGTATTTGTTAATAGAAATATATACCACATGCGAAAAATAAATTTCAAATTGGAAACCAAAGTGCGGCCATAGTTTTTTCATTTTGTTTTGTTTTTGCTAACAGAAGTACTAAAACATATCTGCAGCCATTAATACTACAAAAGAGGAATGGTATAATGGAACAGGATGAAGATATATTCTGGTTGCATGCACTGTAAACATTTACTCAAACAATATTTTTACAATTGAAACAAATTTCTTATAATTATAGTTATTAACTTCATCTCAATAATTTTAAACCTCATCTTTATTTCACGTCTACTCTCAAAGTGTCTGTAGAACATGCAATCTGTTCATTTGCAATTGGCAAAAAGAAATCGGTCTAACATTGGGCAGCACTTTTTTGTAGATTGTCTAACTTTAACACCTGCAATAAGCCCACTTATTGCACATCCTAAAAAATTGCACATTCAATTTTGCACCTCTTTATTATTTTATTTTTTGAATATCAGGCCCTAAGGGCTTAAAAGAAAGGGTTGTGTCCATAGAGGTTAATAGTAATGTGTATGTTCTGGTTCCATAGGAGATTATGATTTTCTCCCCCTACAGTCTGGAGCACATCCCCTATTAGTTGCTAATTCACAGCTTTTTCTTAACTTGCTTTTGTTTTTGCTAATTTTAGCCCTTTTCCTGTGTATGTTGTTTGTGTTAGCATCATTTATTTATTTACAGTCATTCTGTGTTTACAGTTTGTTTCAAATATTGCTTCTCTTTTTTTCCTATGATAGCAGATTTGATCGTTTGGATCATTTATTATTTGCATGTGTTTTTGTGTTTTGTCTCTTTTCCTAATTTAAAAAAAAAAGTTTAATTATTGAGTTTGCAAGTCTAAAAATACTAGTCTATCGGACTTTTTAAATAATCTAACCTAATCATCCCTCAGCAGAGTTACATTTTTTTTGTAATAAAAAGAAGAAAAACAAACCTTAAATCATACAGAATATATTTTTTAATGCGGTAATGTTTACCAAACTTTCATGAAAATTCTGTAGTAAAACATGACAATGTTGATTTAAATGTATTCTAGGAGAAGATACTGTCCGAAAATTACAGGTAGAACGCACATTATGATAATGGCTGTCAGTATAGTATTATGGAAAACCGTATTATTAGGTGTCAAACATATTAAAACAATCCTTATGTAAAAAGGCTATTTTTTAACAAAACAGGAATATTGTCAAGTTATGTTTTCTATGTTTCTCAAACAAATATTGAAAATTAAACCCCTGAGGTTTCCTAGTAAACCCCTGAGGTTTCCTAGCAAACCCCTGAGGTTTCCTAGCAAATGCAAAAAGGTAATTTTTTAAATACACATTCATTTAGATTTTAATACATGCACAAGAACTGTTGGTAAAGAAATACAAACAAATTAATTCTAGCTATATTAATTAACATGTTTGTTATTTCTTTAAAAAGAACAGTTTATAGCAAAGTTGGATATACATTTACCCCTATGAAAAATCCACTACAGTATGACTAAAACATAACAATGCATATTTTATTTCATTTCATTATAAAAAGTAGGAAGGCTGGGAAATAAAACACAAAGTATGTTTTGTGTTTTATTTAAATTTTGTGTACATATAAAATATGTATAAGCATGAATAAAGTCAAAGCCGTAGGGCATTCAAGCTAGAAGTATAAAAGAAATGGCATCATACTCTTACCTATCAGCTCCACAGGATTTATATAATTATTGTAACTTTTGACCATAACATGTAAGAAAAAAAAAACAACGATGAAGAATAAATGTGCGTCTGAAGTAATTTTGCAAAGTTCCAAATAGGGTTTAGGGTAATAGTCTGTTAAAATCAAAAATAAAATCTCATTTGAAGCCTGGCTTTACATGATCTTCTATAAAATAGTAAATTGATCTTGTTGATCTTCTTTTATTCATAACTTTAATGTTGCTCTTACAACCCTTGATAAAATATTGTGTTATGCTGTATCTTTTATGACAGATTGTTTTATGAATTTAGGATTTCAAGATTTTTATATTGCTTATATTAGTGTCTGATCTTTCTTAATATACACTTACAGTAAGAGAGCTTCTGCTTATGTAATGGATCATTTCAGATGAAATTTCATTGTATTTATAAAGGTATTCTTATCTTATCAACTTACTGTATTTAAAATTATGCTGGCATATTTAGTTAGTAAAGAAATGCATAATTTTCCTGTTCTAACTTAATTGCACAACCCTTCCTCAAATTTAACACAAAGTACATTTTCAGTTTTATTTACATTTTGTATACGTATAATATATCTATTAGCATTTATAAAATCATAGCCCTAGAGCATTCAAGCTAAAAGGATAAAAAAATGGGCTAATACTCTTACCTATCAGCTCCAGTGGATTTAGACAATTATTGTAACTTTGAACTATAACATGTAAGAAAAAAGAACAACCATGAGGAAAAAATGTGGATCTGAAGTAATTTGCAATGTTCCAATTGGGGTTTGATAGTAGTCTGTTAAAATCAAAAATAAAATCACATTTGAAGCCTGGCTTTACACGACCTTCTTTAACATCTTAATTTGATCTTGTGTTATTTATTACTTTAATCTTGCTTTTGCAACTATTGCAATCCTAGATAAAATATCATGGTATGCGTATGGTAAATATTTATGCTTTTAAAATTTCAAGATTTTTATATTGCTTATATTAGTTATTTGTCTTTCTTAATATACACTTAAGAGAGCTTTTGCTTCTCTAGTGCATAATTTAAGATCTAATTTTATTGCAGTTATAGTTATTTTTATCTTATCAACTTACAGTATTTAAAATTATACTAGCATATTTATTTAGTAAAAAAAAAAGCATTATTTTCCTGTTCTAACTTAACTGCACAGCCCTTTTCAGATTTAACTGAAAAGTGCTCTATAAATTAATTCTGATGGAAAATATTAACACTGTCCAAGGAAACTGTAATTCCATGAATGGACAAAGGAAATACAACCATAGTATGGATAAGGCCTAAAATAAGCACTATTTTGATGTAAAAGATTGTATACCTCCGGCCTTGCCTAGTACTTATGTTGTCACCTAGTTGTAACAGCAATGAGCAGCTTTGTTAATTAAAAAAGGAAAACAAAAATGACATTTAATTATTGCAAGAGTTTAAAAGATTATCACACTTAATGAATTAAACCTTCCTGTGGTTACCCTGAGGTAATGGATAAATGATTGAAAAGAATTAAAAAAAAAGTCAAAAGAAATGGAACAATCTTATCTAAAACAAGCAGCCAGCACGGCGATGCAGTCGGTACAGTTAAAATTTGATCAAACCCTTCCTGATTCTCTTTGTAGTTAATGCATAATTGTGTGTGTGAGTGTGTCTACCTGCAAATTAAGAAGTGTAGCACCAGTCGTCATGGCTTCACTGATCTCAAGGTGGTATTGTTGGCGAGGAAAACGAGGAGGGCTCTGGTTGTTTGGGGGCAGAACTTCAATATAGACTGTTGTAATGGAAGACCTGAAAAGAGTTAAAATAAACAACACAATGAGGTTTTATCAAATGGAACAGACTGCAAGAGCACTTATATATAGTTTGTTAAATTTAAAATACTATTAGAGAAATAAGAAAAAGGAAATATATCAAAGCTTACAAAGATACTAAAGGCAGGCAACAGAGACACTCAATGATCCATGACTTAGTATAAGGGAGGTTGTTTTTAGCTGCTACTGTGTTTAATCAATGATGAAAAAAAGTAATGTCAACAACATGTAAGTGCCAAAGAAAGAGTCTGAATAGAACTAAGCTGCTGGGCTTTACAAAAGTCTGTTTCTGTGGATCTTGAGTTATCTATTTTTCAATCTGACAAACTGGTGTTTCAGTGACTCAGTTATCCAAGCGGAGGTGACCTTTTAGTGAAAGAACATTTTGATGTAGTCCTGCTGAGTGAATATAAGTGGGAACAGTTTGCCCTTTAGTGCTTCTTTGTTATTCCAGTTAACACTTTCCTTTTAGTTACTAAAAACTTTGCAGTTTCATAAGTAAACTTTATTCGATTATTACAATGAAGGGTATTGAAATCAGAAACACACATTGGGAAGATTGATTTTATTTGACCAAAAACTGCAATTTAAACAGAATAACCTTTTTAAAGATGAAAAACAGCAGAGAAAACAAGCTCATATATATATATATATATATATATATATATATATATATATATATATATATATATATATATATTTATATTGATATTAAACACACCTCATTTCATTAAAAATCCAATCCAGTTAAAGAAATAGAACCAAATGGTGTTAAACTTAGTAAACTAGTTTAAAAGTTTCAGTATTTAAAAATAATATGAATGAAAATTATTTATATCAACACACATTTTTTTGACAATACCTACGTTGATAAGATTAAAAATGGTTTTTCACTTAGAATACATGAAAATGTTAGTGGGTGGTCTGTCAGACCTTCAAAATGGGCGACATTTCTGCAAAATTGTGAAGGTAACTGTCAGTCAAAAGAAAAACAATATCCATTAATTGCTGATACTTTTTAATGCCCACTGCAAAAATGAGTAGCTATAAATTCATTCATGGACCTTGGCATGTCCTTAGTACTAAGAAGTTTGGCATTAACAAACCATGAAAGGATCTACTGATATATTTGAAGTATACCCCGAATGAAAAAACAAAACAAAGGTATTGCAGAGAGAGAGTGACAAATGTGGACACAAAGTGTGCATCTTGGCCACAATCAAAGAAAAGAAACAAATTCCTCTCACCATGAACAGGTGTTTCTCACAAGACACAGCATCAAAAGCTATAATCAGCCAATAGACCTTTCCGTTGCTGGTGCTTTCAGCTGTTAAATAAAGCTCTATCCAAGTAATTTTACTTTTCACTGCAAAAAATCTAAATCTAGATAAGTCATTTTTTCTTAAAATAAGTGCATTTGTTCTTGAATTGAGGAGCTAAAAGAGACATTCTGCCAATGGAACAAGACAATTTACACTTAAAATAAGAAAACACAATTGCATTGTCTTATTTCAAGTGCATATTACCTAATTATCTTATTTTAAGACTAAAAATACTCATTCCATTGGCAAACTATCTCATTTACCTGCTCAAATTAAGGGTAAATACACTTAATTTAAGAAATTTTTTACTTATTTCTAGATCGTTTTTGCAGTGCAGATAAATGGTCCTTTTCTGAAGGTAGGACTTTCGAGTCCCCCAAACATTGCTACAGAGTGGGGATTGACATGGATTGTTGTATTGTTAATTAATACTACAATGGCATAAGAGTATGCTAAAAAAAACAGTGATTAAAGCTTGATTTATTACACTCACTTTTACACATAATTTACTGTAAACAATCCACTATCAGCTCGGATTATAAAGATGCTGCTTAATTGTGAAAGTTTCTGATGTTTTCTGAGATGCCCATTCTTAAAGGCCTTTACAGATAGCCTCTCTGATTCGAGGTGTAGGTACCAGATCTGCTTGGGACTCGTAAGCCATATGATGACGTTGCCATACGTCATCGTATGGCAACGCCACTCGGACAAACTGTATTGCACACCTTTCTTAATAATGAGATCTTTTCTGGAGTCTCAACATATTATCACCCATATTTGCAATTCTTTTACGTTTCATCTGTGTTCTAAAGTAGCCGAAAGCAGAAAACGATCAGTCTTTAAGGAAAGCACTGCCTTTTACGACAAACCTCATCATCTTTAACAAGGTGACAAAAACAATTCTCAGTGCTTCTTCTTATTCAGATCTGAGAGAATCCATCCAGCCTTTTTCTGTCACGCTTAATCCCTTCTGTGGTGGCAAGGGGTGCTGGTGCCTATCTCGAGCTGTCTTAGGGCAAGAGGTGAAGTACACTGTGGACAGGTACCCAGTCCATTGCAGGGCAACACAGAGACACACAGGATGAACCAACATTCACGCAAACACTGACACCTAAGGAAAATTTAGAGAAGCCAATTAACATGTTTATGGACTGTGGGAGGAAGCCGGAGTACCCAGAGATAACCCACGCATGCACAGGGAGAACATGCAAACTCCACGCAAAAACACCCCGGGCCAGGAATCAAACCCAGCACCTTCTTACTGTAAGGCAAAGGTGCAACCCACTGGGCCACTGAGCAGCCCAGATCTGAGAGCAGTGAAGGACAAGTGGAAGATCTAAAAAATGACTTTTGTAGAGATTTTAGACAAAGAAAACATTCATTCTACTGGTAGAAAATAAACGGTTGTTGTTGACACATATTTATAAGTATTGTAGTTTAATATAACTAACTGACAGGGCTAAAATAGGCGAACCTGTGAGCTACTGAGCAGAGCTAGCCACAGAGCTACCCAGCTCTCCCCTTAATATCTTAGTCTTGCAGTTACTTTGTTATTCAGCTTTGTTATCAAGCAGATAAAACTTAATCGGTCATTAGACACGCGAAAACATTACAGATGCTCCCGACTTGGCCCACGGGCGGACGCTGAATTGTTATCATCGTTGTCCAGGCAACCACAGTACTTTAAATACTGTAATGTGGCAAGGTTCACCCAATCATATAGCATAATGTCAGTACCATGCACAGGGTCCAAGCAGATCGGACCACCCGAGCAGATCTGGCGCCTACACCGGCACATTGTTTTAAAACTCCACTGACAGATATAATTCATTTAGGTAATGTACACTTTATGTTCGGTTTATGGAGCTTCAAAGTTTTGTGCTTCAGAATATCATGGTTGCCAAGTGAAAGACGTTATTGAGGTAAGGGCAGGAAAAGATGGTGATGCATTTGGTTCCTTATTTCCACTTATCACCAGACTGAATGTGTGATAAGAGTTTTCTTCACAACTTCTCCCATTTGTTATAAGCCTGATTTGAATAAATGTAATGTGCCTTCTCATAGTTATGAAAAGAAAAAAACTAAAATTGTCAAAGACTCCTTATAGTTGGGTAAAAAGCATCCCCCGCCTTCCTAGGCCCCTCATTACACACAGAGCTTCAAGAGCATCTTGAATTACCAACTACCTTTCTTATGAAAACAATGAGCATTTTTATCAGATGAAATATCTTTTATGAACACGAAAGAGCCTGGTGCCAAAGAAAAAACTTAATCAAACTTATTAAAAGTGATGTGGCAATGTCAGACATTTCAGTTAAAAAAAAAAAAAAATTAGATGAGAAAAAAAAAAACAACTTATCTGGATATCAATGGAAAAAAAACATTAAATAAGAATAAATATACATATGAACATGATAGGTACAATTGCAGGAATAAAATAAATACATTCAACAACAAAGGCTGAGGATACCATTTGAAAAAGCATTTGATAAATATAAATATGTATAAAATGAGGCAACGATGAATGCATAAATCTACTTAGAAATTCTTGGCTGGTTAACTGAAAAAAAAACAGTTCCTAGACCTAACTGTTTAATTTCCTGAACTTCAAACCACTTCAGAACTAAATCTCTGAATGTATAGGATGAGGTGTGAAAACCATATAAATATTAAACCAATTTATGTGGGAATATGGGTCATATTTTCAACTTTTTAACACAACAGAATTTCACTACCAAAAAACCTTTTCTAGCAATTTTTGTAGACTTGATAATTTACTTACACGGAGTTAATCCACACATACAAAAATTTCACAGCTTTATAACCAATTATTTGTATTGATGTCTTTTTTTGTTTGTTTTTTGTTTGTGCATTTCTGTTGACATCTAAGCTGGATTTTATGTCAACAGCCACATTAGAAATATGGTTACTGAGAAAGAAATTGATGTGCTCAGTGCTTATTTTCCCTTATTCAATATTAATGATCTGGGTTTCAGTTTACATTCCAGTCTAAACTGGATCTAGATATTCAGTTTCCCTGCAGTGAGATGTGATGAAGCGGTTTTCAGAACAATGTTTTGATAAGGTTAAAATTAAACTTTTTTTTTTACTGTATTTGCAAAAGAATTTTAGTGGAACGAGGAAAAGGAAATTATTTTGATCTTGAGAATCTGACAGCTGATCATTTAACTTTGATGAATAAGGACTTAATTAAATAGTATTTACCTTCCTTCTGACAAACAGCCCTAGATTTTCAATATGCTCTATTTACTTAGTAACTACATCACTACAAAAGCTATACCATAACTCAGGCCCACCAGTTACTCCCAAAATTAGAATCATTTTTTTTTTTTTTTTGATTATTAACTACATTTTTATATAAAATAATGCAAAATCCTTGTAAAAAATCCATGTAATGTAAACAATACTTTCCAAAAAAGAAAATTCCATTGTTAGCCATTTCTTACTGGTTATCTCCAGCTAAGTTGTATAAAGAGATTTAACCGGTAATCGAAATATTATTCTTCCATTTATGTGAAAGTTTAGATAAGATTGTAACATTAAAACTTAAAAATCTCAGCGTCAGCCGACGTTTCCATACAGACAAAGAAATTAAAGCAAATCAGTCCACAAATAAGCTATAGCCATAGGTGGA